TACAGGCTAACTGGTGTAGAACGCTGTGGGTGGCTCTGTCATACAGGCTAACTGGTGTAGAACGCTGTGGGTGGCTCTGTCATACAGGCTAACTGGTGTAGAACGCTGCGGGTTGCTCTGTCATACAGGCTAACTGGTTTTCATTTTGAAATGCTCATCTATAGTATTGAAATCTATTCAGTAAAGTTTATATTCATTTCACAGGGTTTTAGAACCATGAATAGATCAAAATATGAAGTGTATTAATTGCAATTAACAGAGTCCCATTCTAACCGCATAATAATGTGTGTTATGTCTTCAGGGTGGGAAGGAGCACGGCGTTCCCATCCTGATCTCAGAGATCCATCCCAACCAGCCTGCAGACAGATGTGGAGGCCTTCATGTGGGAGATGCTATCCTTGCTGTCAACAGCATCAATCTGCGAGACGCCAAGCACAAGGAGGCAGTCACCATCCTCTCTCAACAGGTAACATAAGCATTCTGTTGGCTGGATCTGCTCGATCTCTGGGATCAGCTCTTCCATGCTGGAGCAGCTCCTTTATCTAACATGCTGCCTTTGTATATCAGCGAGGACAAATAGAGTTCGAGGTGGTGTACGTGGCCCCTGAGGTGGACAGTGATGACGAGAACGTGGAGTATGAAGATGACAGCGGCCACCGGTACCGACTTTATCTCGACGAACTTGAGGACAGTGCCACAACATCGACCACTAACAAGTGCTCAGCAGCACTTCAGGGTAGGACAAAGACTAGTATGTATGTTGCCATGTTTGTGTTTATTTGTGGGGACAATTTCCCAGAGATATGCTCCATTTTGACATGGGGTACAAAGGACAGGTCGCCATGGGGTACAAAGGACAGGTCACCATGAGGTACAAACAAAGGACAGGTCGCTGTCGCCATAGGGTACAAAGGACAGGTCACCATGAGGTACAAAGTGGTACGAAGGACAGGTTGCCATGGGGTAGAAAGGGGTACGAAGGACAGGTTGCCATGGGGTAAGAAGGACAGGTCGACATGAGGTACAAAGGACAGGTCGACATGAGGTACGAAGGACAGGTCGCCATGGGGTACAAAGGACAGGTCGCCATGAGGTACAAAGGACAGGTCNAGGTACAAAGGACAGGTCACCATCAGGTACAAAGGACAGCTCGCCATGAGGTACAAAGGACAGCTCGCCATGAGGTACAAAGGACAGGTCACCATGAGGTACAAAGGACAGGTCACCATGAGGTACAAAGGACAGGTC